GTATTTAACAAATCTGGTCTTGCCAGAAGGCTTTTGTTACTTTGAGACTGTGCTCTACACATGGACCAGCTGAAAAATTAAGGCAAAATCCTCCCTCAAGAGCTGGAGGATATCACATGTGGGTAATGAGCTTTTGTAAGGAAGAATTTGCTGCTCTTCTCTTCACCAGGTGACCCTGTGTTCCAACACAGTGATGGAATTCTGTCGGAGAATGCTGGTGGACCTGGAGGGTGTTGGCGAGGGAATGGCATCACTGGTCATCACAGCCAGGTACCAGCCCTTCCCTGGCCTCCCCCAGCCGCTGCCTTGCACGGGGTTTGCTGGCTGCAGTTCCCAAGGAGAAGTGCTGTCTAATGGCCTCCTGTTGTGCCCAGCTGGACATAAGAACAGCGGTGCTTGGACATCAGCCTGTGCTGAAAAGCACCCCTGCTCACAGCCCAGCACGGTCCTGGGCCCTTTTCTAAAGGGACCAGGAATGATAAATTTTATTGGCCTGGTTTTTGCTGCTTGAGCTGGAGCAAATTTCCTAAGGGCCTCCTCTCCTTCTTCCTGCAAGAGGTGGAGTTGTGCTGGTTGTGGCCACCCTGCACTGGTTTGGGACACACCAAGCAGCCTGCTGAGAGTCAGGGTCTGGTTCTGTCAATGAGGGCACATGGCAGGGGAAGTGGCTCACAGCAAGAGTGGTGAGGGCAAGGTCTTACAAGGGGAAAACAGCCCTTGATGTGGCAGGTCAGCTCTAGTTTTTCTCCCTCTCTCTGGTTCCCATTTTGAGCTTTAATGTTCTCAGGCTCAACCCAAAAGTCGTTCTTGCTGCAGCAGAATTCCATCCTGCTATGCTGCTCTGGCTGTCATTTAATGACAGGAGGGATGCAGCTCCCTGGTGCTGTTCCCTGTCCCAGGCAGAGCCAGTCAGTGCCTGGGCTGCCATTTTGTCAAGCAAGTGCAACTGGGGACAGTCAGTGCATGGAGCTGTGGAGTGAGGGACTGAGGGAGCTGTAGGACCTGGGAGGGGAGATCACCCACTCTGCAGGGCAGGGGGTGTCTCGTGCCCTCCAAGGCTGGGGCAAACAGCTGAGTTCTCA